CAGGAAACATAGCGAAGGTACAATAATTGCAATTGTTGTAAGTTTGCTGATTTTATTCGAACTTTCAGCTTCAGCGTTCTCTGTAAAATAAAATTTAAAAAGTGAGTCATTTCACTGCAATTCGGTTGGTTCAGATATGCTAATTTCCAACCAACAGCAGTATCTTGTTTTTTTGTTGTTATTATTATTATTAGCTCTATGTTTTCAGAAAAGAAGTCAGAAGTGCTTACACCTGCCCTGTGGTCTCTGAAAAGACCTCAGGCATCTCACAAAATGTTTTTTACCGCTTCATGTCATTCATGTCATTCATGTAAAGTCTGAAACTTGGGAGCTTTATATTTCTACTTTCATACTGTGGTTTGAATGGGAAAAGCATTAATCCTGCCACACAATCTAACATTAAGGTCAATGCACAATTATGAAGGAAATGTCAGTGCAGCCAGAGGTGCTCAGCGCTATTGTGTGTTGGTGAGTTTTCAACTTTCACCTAGAACAGCATTTGAGTAGTGCTCTCACCAGCCGCCTATAAAAGTCCCACAAACTGCAGTTAATCCAGTGTAATCTTTAGAGTAAAAGGGCAGGGACTTGTGTATTTTAGAAAGAAAATAAAAATGGGATAAGCTAAAAAATGCCATTGTTGTCAACCTCTTCTTCTTTACGTGCCCCACCATCAGCCAGCCTCTGCTCCGCCCCCACACTGTATTCAGTCCTGATGGGTGTGTAAGGTATGCTTTTTTGTCTGTTTGGTTGGTTGGTTTTTGTAATCTAAAAACTTCAAAAGCTGATAAACCCACCTATAATCACAAGCTCCCATTCCTGCTCAATGACTCCAGAGTCTGTGGTTATTTCACAAGTGTAGTTTCCTGTGTGACTTTTCTGGGCGCTCTCTATGATTAGTGCATATGATTGGCTTTCTAAGGTGGACATGGTCAGATTCAGGGTGGCAGCAGCAGGAGACCTGCTTAAGGTGACAGAGCTGCTGTTTGAGGCTTTCTGTGGCCTGAAACTAAACAGCTGAGTCCCATTCCTTCTCCATGTCAGTTGAAGGAGGTCACCGATTGTGTTACTGGTACAGTGCAGGGTCACTGTGCTCCCCACCATCCTGGAAGTGCTGTTCGCTTCTTGAAAGACAAAAAAAAAAATCCCTTTATAGGCCTAATTTACTCATTACTTCCATTACATATATAGTATCCTATAGTATACTAAGCTTAGGTTGTGTTTACATTCTGCAGCATCAGTATTTTTGGGGAATAGGACTGCATTTTGGGAAATGTGTTTTCTTTTGTTTTTACATGATTTTAAGTTTTATCAAAAGCGCGTCACAGTTGCTGTAGATGGTTAGCTTTAACTTTGAGCATAAAGAGTAGAAGAACATACAGAGCAGGTCACTGAATGAAGTTAATCCTGGTATATCAGTTAGCTCAGCTGATGCTCCTACGCACTTTCAACTGTTATATCCCATAGGGTACATAATCTCATTGTGTTCAGCTTGACTATCGATGCTGGTTTCTCTTCAAGTCACTTTGCAGCCCACCGTTATGCCAGCTCTGCTTTTTCATCCTTTTTCTGACTTTATCAATATTGAACGCATGTACAGTGCTGTGAAAAAACTATTTGCCCACTTCCTATTTTTTGTATGCTTCAGAGCAGATAACCAAAATACATTTTAAAAATACAGTTTTCAAATGGTGATTCTATTTGTTCAGGAAAAAAGATATCCAAATCTACCTGACTGTAATAAAGTACATTTTAAGGCTTTGGGACTCCAACAAATCACAGTGAGAGCCAGTATCCACAAGTAAATAAACATTAACCTTCCCAAGAGTGGCCAGTCTAACAAAATTACCCCAAGAGAGAATTGACGGCTCAATGAGGAGGTAAAAAAAAACAAAACACACACAGGGTGTCTGAGGTATGAAACCACATCTAAAGAATTTCAGGCCTCACTTGTCTCAGCTAAGGTCAGTATTCATGTTTCAACATTTATAAATAAAAAAAACACCCTAAAAATGTAGTTACATAGCTTCCAATAAACAAAACCTCAAAGGATTATTTCACATTTGACATAAAAAAAACTTGTTGATCAATGAAACTTTTGGGAAATTAATCTGTGGGCTCAAGAGAAAAGAAGTTTTTTTGGAAGGTTTGAGCCTCGGCACATGCGCTATAAACCTGATACAGCATTTCATGAAAAGAACATCATAGCTACAGTAAAACATGGTGGTGGTAGTGTGATGGTCGGAGGCTGCTTTTCTGTTTTCATGAATTCTGCTCTTTAAAAGAAAATGCTTAAAGAGTGTCTGGCCAAGACATGGGTCAAGTTTTGTGCACAGTGATCTGAAAGACGCATTACAAGTTACTGCTGATCGCAGTTCTTGCTGCCAAGGCTGCGCAACAGGGTTTATATTTAGGGAGGAATTACTTCTTAATATCAGGTAGATCTGGATAGGTTACTTCACTTGAGATATAAATCAACATTTAACCGTATTTTGTGACAAATATACAAAAAAGGATACACAGCTTTGTAAAAAGGCAGGCACGTTGCAGAATACAGCCCATCCCAAAAAAACAAAGAACTGAAGTTTAAGTCATAATCCAGATATAAAATTAAGCTTATTTTGCACTATTCATACTTTTTTCCATGTAGCTTCCAGTATAAAAGCAAAAGCTGAAAAAATCAAACTATTAAACTTTTCCATTATATTATACTCATTGTCAAAGCTGTAAAATTAATTTTACCTGCTTGTAAAAATATAGAGACGATGCAACATATGAGAAACAAGATCCTGTTGATTCCCCAATATCTTGACAAGTCTTCCATGCCAGCTTAAAAAAAAAAAGATTTATTTATTTATTTATTCATTTGGAATGTAAATATCTGCAACTGGTATTTTGTTCTCACTGAGTGTCAAAAAGTAAATATCAAGGATGTCCTAAACACAAAGCAACAAAAAACAGGGTCACGCAAAAGAGCAAAATTTTTAAATGCACGAAAACTTTTCGAGCTCTTTTCAGCTGAGAGTTTCTTAATAATTACAAGAAACTGAAGTGCAGTATCAAATCAGTAATCTTTAAATACCCTATGACTGTAATAAAAAGCAATAAACTGCTCATAAGAACGAGAACGGTCACATCCTGTGCAAACCTAAAGGTGGTACAGACTAAATAGCAATACTGTTTTCTTACCGTTGAGTCATATGCTGTTTAATCCTTTTCTCTGCACGGCAACTTTAACAGCTTTGATGTCACACAAGCAGGAAAATTTGATATCTAATAATCATCTTAATTTTAGCGTACAGCTTCTTTGCATGTGTGCCTGCACAGTGGACATACATGCATAGTATTAAGACCAAT